TCTTCACATCACAGCTGTTACTAATTTCAGGCATTTCTTGGAAGAAATTGCATTTTCTGTCCAGTAAGACATTTTATTTTCAGTTTGAACACAGAGGAAAAATCTGCATAACTGAAGGAATCAATCTTAATTTTCTACAGCAGTTCCATCATGGAATTGAGAGATTTACAGAATTGTTAGATGCTACCCTGGGTAAAGCAGTCGACCTTGTAGACTATCTATATTAATACTAAAATAATAGATCAGTGCCTACATGCATAAAAGGCAATTAGCACTTCAGCTCATTCCCCATGTGATAAAATGCTACAATGTATTTTACACGTCAAGCTTTTGGGAGTGAGTGGAAGCCCAGTGTCACACTCTGCTAACCAATATCATAGTCCACAAGTCCTGATAATTTTAATTTATCTTCAACATGTCCTTGCGAGGAAGAATAATGGTATTCACAGTGCACTTTACATGGATTGCAAAGTGCGCTACAGTCAACTGAACTATAACATATTTGCTAGAAAGGTATTACCACATCTTCAGTCAGCAGCTCAAAAATAAAAAGTGCAGAGAGTACTGTTAGTGTGAACTTGGGGCTCAAGCCTATACCCTGTTCCAAGATCCCTAATTACCCACAGTAAGCTTTGGTTTACAGTCCATTGTAAGACCATTGGCTCACCAGACTGGGAAGGTCAAGCAAAAAGCAGGGATTGGCATTTTCCCATTACAGCCAGCCTTGGCACAACCAGTTCAAGCCACACAGCATGGTGAATTTGTGCCCCAGCATGATTATTGCTAAAAAAAGACTCAGTAGCTAAACCAGAACGGTACATGGCACTCAGCAGGGTCTAATTTTTAGGGACCCGGTTCTGGAAGTGGAATTCACAAACCCAAAGCGGATGTTTAAGAGCACCGCATGCAGAAAGCTTAGGTCCTGAGAATGGAATTTGAAACGGACAGTGGAGTGCGGGAATGTTTCTCAAGTCTCACCTATTATTTACCATCCAAAATCTTTTCTAGCATGTGGGTTCCATATTATTCCTTTATGTTTCTTGCATGACTGATTAATGCTTTTCTTCTAAAATACAACCCCTGGAGGAGTCAGTGATGGTGCTATCCATGGAAAATGGGTTTGGTCCTGTTTTTAGGGTAGCCTCCTGAGAAGTATCTCCTTGTCAAAAAGGGTTCAAATCTCCATCTCAAAACCAGACATTTCGCTGTGCCTCCCCATCCTGGCCTTTCGGTTATAAATTATCCTGTTTGCTGTGCCTAGTGCTAAATACAGCGCTGTCAGTGTGGGGTGTGGGCTGCATCAGGCACGTCAGGATTAAACATGAGATGAGAAGTGAGCCCAGTCATAAAAGCCATACTTTTGTATATATGCAGTTGCAGGGCATTATATGCATATGTAATTTTACCAGTGAAAACTTCAGCAGTTAGACATTCCTGAAATCACGCATTTCCATTTCACATAAGTCATAAATTAGTTAGGTGACTAATTGCCTTTTGAGGGTTAGGCCCAAAGATGTGATATACTACATTTGGGGGTGTGTGAAGGAATGAGTTCATGTTTTCCACAGTTCAGTCTAATAAAATCCTAACATTAAATTATTATGTTTTCCTTGATCAAGAAATAGGAGTCAGATGCTATGAGTCCTATTTCTGCAGTGGCTTCAGACCTGCTGCTATTATGTTGCATTTCTATGTTTGCAATAAAGCTGGGTGCTACTTTTCCCTCAAAGTAAGCAGATTTTAAACCTTAAAATATCCAAGATAATTATAGTTAATTTTTTTTGGAAATGCTTTTTTCCTACATACTTTCGCTAGTTATTTAGAGCTTGAACAATTATATTCAGGAGAGGTCAGATGGGAGACCAGTCAACAATTTTTGCGTTTAGAAAATTACTGCCTGGAAAAGTTAATACAGCAGAGAAGGTATTAATTGATGCAGAAGGCATTTCAAGGAAGAAGCGTGAACAAAATCCTGGAGAAGGAGTTCTGTGGCTCCAATCAGGTATTATTCCTCCTCAATGGTTCACCTACAGCACTGTCTGGAATACTGTATTCAATTCTGTGTACAGTGTAAACAGAGAGCCACACAGCATCCAAGGACAACGTTCTGGCGGGGCTGATTTTTAGAGAATTAAAAATGTACAACTGATCAGAGTATATGTATCAGAAAAATAAAGGAGCTAAGAACGCTTTTTTTCAGTGGTATGGAAATATAACTGGGAAACTAAGAAAGTAACTTTCTGCGATAATCTTTCCAAGGAATGAGAGGACTCAGCCCCATGAACAATTATGATAAAAGTTGAAGACCATGTAAAATGGCAACATCCCCCCACTGCCACAACAAAAGATGAAGTGGTTACCTCCGTTTCATTCTCGGCCACATGACTGTGGAAAAGTGGGAAACAAATCATGTTCGTAATGCTGGCATTTCAGACAATAGTGTATTTTCTGTTACAAAAGGGAGAAAAAGAGAAATAGCAGTATTCACTTTCTCCTTCCTGATTAGAAAGTTCAACAATAAAATGAGGAATTTGATGCTGGAATGGTTATGTTTGGGATTCTCTTCCTCCCAAATTAGTAAAAAAAAAAAAAAAAAAAAAAAAAAGAGCAGTAGTTCAGAAAGGCAACAACAATAGAGAACCCTGATTTTCCATTACTTAATGTAACATAATGAAGTGCTGCTTTTGGTTTTGCCAAAACTTCAATGGAAAAAAAACAAAAAAACTGAAGCTGCCCGTTTAGACTTACTCAATATGAAAGGCTGCTGCAGAGCCTCCAGCTAGCTACAAGCAACACCTAATTCAAATTTTTAAAAGAGGTGAAGTAAGGAAATGCCACTCTTAACCCATTGCAATTAAGTGTATGCAGATAAGAAAAGGACTGGGAGGTAAAGGAGGACGATCCTCAGCAAAATTAAGTTGTTGCTTGTGATTGCTAGTTTTGACAACAGGAAGAAGCACAAGTAACTCCTCTCTGAAATCGTCAAAACTGCTCCCCAGTTCTTTCTCTGCCTTTTGCAAGGGCAGCCATATAAGGCAGATAAAAGGGAGGGACCCTGCCTTACTCAGGGTGGGACTTGATAAGCTGGGAGCAGAGCTGGGCAGCAGCTCCTTCCCCTGCACCTATCCAGGGAGTCTGCTGTATGGAGCTGAGGGAGCGGCAACGAGAAGGAGCAGAAGGACATGTGGTGAGAGAAGGTAGGTACTGTTTGCCAGCTGGTTTCAGGTTTTTCTGTGCTTTATGTCTGACTGTGTGGGACCCCCTGTTTTGATTAAGCAGGCCAGCAAGTGTTTCAGGTAGCTCTGTTTGCAACTGCTGGGTAGCCAACCTTTGCTACAAGCACTTGCCTAGGTAGTCTCAGCCCCCTAAAATGAATGATATGGAGGGAGTGTACTTCTGATAGGTTTCTTATGTTCTTGTAGATTGGCTTGGATGAAAGTCTTTGTGTTTTAACTTTATTGTTTGGTCCCTACAGCTTTTCAGTGTTAAGAGAACTGATGAGGGAAAGGGAGTATTTCTCTATCTGCTGTAGGACTAATGTAGAAATGCATCAGTCTGCCTAACTGTGAACAGTGTTAAGAAATGAGCATGTTGTAACAAATCCAGTACTGCATGTAAACATTTTGTGGAATAACTTAGAGGGCTCTGTTCAGGTGTACTACAATGGTAGTTCATCCGTTACACATGAGGGTCTTTAAGCAACACCAAAAAATAAGCTTTATTTAGAAAGAGGGGGTAAAGGCTGAAATTCTCTCTCTAAATTACTCTATTCTGCTGAGGCTAAAGTAACTCAAAATGTGGGTGTGAGCCTCTTCTGACAGCGGAGCAGTCAGCTGCAACTCCTAGGCGTGTGGGATTTATATTGTGAATAACAGTACATTACGATATGACATTACAGACATAATTTTGACATTAACATTAGCAGTGCTTTGAAGTTAAAGTCACCTCTTATGATACTTCTAATATTCTCATATTTTCATCATATTTTCATATTTTCATTTTAGCTAAGCATTTTAAATAAGGAAGCTTTTCATGGTAGTGTGTAAGAAATGAGGCAGCACAAAAAATGACACTTCAGAAAGCTGCTCTCAGTCTCACAAAATGATTAATATTGCTGTTAAGTATCTATGTATTAGCAGCAATTTAAGTCTGCCCCATGAAATATATATTGATCTATAAGAGCCTTGTTTTTAATTCTGTTTTCTCTAGGTACTTGCTTGAGAGTAGCCAAGTTATCAGCAAACATTAAATGGCTTGAAGAAAATCAGGAATCAGGCCAGGAGTTTTTGATCTTCTCCCTTCTAACAATATTAACCTCCTAGTGACAGTTACCATTAACGGCATCCTCCTTTTTACACTTGAGAAAAATTGTTCCTGAGTACTGTGGGCTGCAAGATCAGATCCCATGAGGTGACTGAAATAATTTATTCAAGTCTTAAAATCTTTCTGTAACATTGACAGCCTAGATAAGATCTCTTGAGGTGTAGATGTTGAAGTTCAAATCCTCAATCTAGTGTGTTTCGGGCAACAGCAAGTTTATAACTTCCAGGAAATTTTCACAGTTCCCCTTCTAATCAGGACACTTCAAGAACTGCTCAACTTAAAATAATATCATAGGATCATCTCTCAGGACAACTCTGCTGCTGTTGCACGATTTAAATGGTTTTAGGCTTCCTTCTTAACAAATGTAACTTTGAACTGTAATTTTCTTCCTTCCTACAGAAGTCTTAACATCTTCCCTTTCCTGGCCTCCTGTTACTTCTGGTGCCTAGCATGTGTCATTGTCTAATACATTTTTTCTGATTTAATTTCAGAGGCTGTGGGTGACAGCAGGTGACAGGCTGACAGCTCACACTTGTGTCACAGAGAAGCTCCGTGATAACAGCAGAAAGTCATCTTATCAGCTGCTGGAGAACACCCTGGGCAGGGAGGACATACTGTACCTCCTTCATGATTTTAAATATTGATCAGGGTTAGTAATACTTGTGCGTTGTTACAGAATGTCCTGTGATAGCGGAGAAACTGTTGGGCACCAGATGTATAACCACTGTGGACAGGTTCAAGGCTCCTCTTCCCGGCTTAGCAGTCTGAATGGAAATAGGAAATCTGCAGCGTTGCTGGAAGTCAGGGGGAACCTAAGCAATATGCAGTATTCTTCCGTGGCGCTGGATCCAGAAACGCCGGTGAATAATGGATCCGGGATTCCCCGTAACCCTGAGGAAGGCACAAAGGCTGCAGCCTTGACAGAAAGTGAAGTCCGCAGGACCTGTACAACAAAGTGTTTCCATAGCCATTATTTAACTAAAACTAGTACGCAGAGAGACGTCTACAACTTCCTGGAGAGGCCCAGTGGATGGAAGTGTTTTATCTATCATTTTACTGTGTAAGTACCTATGCTTTCACATAATCTTTGGTGTAAGAAAAATCTGAAACTGTCCACTTAATCAGGCAGAAATCATAGTACTTGAGCTCCCAGGCTGAAAACCTGTTGCATGAGTAATCCCATTGAAAGCAGTGGAGAAGCCAGTTTCTCAAAGGATCAGCCACTATATCCATTAACATTTCCAGAGGAGGGCTTTTTATTCTTCACTTGATATTTGTCTTCAAAGATGCACACTGTATATTTGATATTTCTGAGGGGAAGTCCTATATGCTCGTGGCAGTTTTTATTGCTGCCTTAGCTGCTTTACATTGCTCCAGCTTCAGACGCTGTAGTTTTTAGCATGAGATGTGGAAAGTTCAGCTGTGATCAGATACGTCACATTTTTATAAGTCCGTTTTGCTCATGCTGAAGTGCCAAAACAAGTAATTTGTTGGACAAACATATAGTCATAACATTACTAATTTGAATTAATTTACAGTTGTGAACACATGAGTATAAAGTCTTTCATTATGCCATGTATGTAGTACATGCAAGGAGGAAATTAAGGCTTCCATTTACCCTTGTAAAACAGTGGTTAATATATTAATACAGCTGCTACTGTTTTCTTTTAGCTGCTTATGGTATCTGTCAGGTTTAGCAGGACCTCAATTACTATTTTGAATACTGCTTAAAAGAATGATAATTTGTCATCTTAGCTGTAGAAAAGGCCCAGTTGTGCTCTCACTGAGGCAAGAGGAAGTTTTACTGGCTATAGTGAATGTAAACTGAGCCCAAAGTCCTTGCTTTTATTATAAAATTAGCATATGTCCTGAAGAAATGCAGAGTTTTGAAATTATTCTGTTTGTCTCAGATGAACTTTTCTATGGCCTGACTACATTTTGGAAAAACTATTATCACTTACTGCAGTCAGGAACTGCCCAGAGAAAGATATGGTAATTATAAGAATGAATCATAATGCTTCTATCTGACATAAAATAGATGGTCTTATTACTATTTGCTTCCTTTCATCCCTCAAAATCATATACGGATTTTTTTTTTAAAAGGATTTTTTGATTCATGAAATTTTGCCAAGTAAAAGGATAGGGCCTCTTTCAAGGACTATGCTTATAGTATATAATAATTCCTAAGGCTTAAACAGATGTAATTTGTGTAGATTTAAATATGTGAATAGTCATGATTTAAGCCTATTTGAGGTTAGGACTTATTAATTTTGCTAAAATGCATTTGTTTCATCTGTGTTGCTTTTACCTCAGACTAAGGTTGACCTTCAATATGTACTTACGTTCTGCAGTAGGCATTTAAAAAAAAAAAAAAAATTAAAATATATATACACACACACCCCCCTGCCATACTAGAAAATTGGATGAAATATTAGTATTACTAGCAGAAAACTCTTCTTTTTTTTTTTTAACAGTACAAGTGTTCCTAACTTAAATGAAAGAATATGTGAATTGACCTCTTTTTAACAGCTTTTCCTTTGAGATTGCTTGAAAACAAAACTTCTAAACATAGTTTTTGGCCAGCATTTTGTCCTAAGTATATTTGTCCTAATAATTATTGCAATAACTACATGGTGTGTTCATTTATGTAACAAGTTTCTGGTTTGGAAAGAACATACTATACAACATTAAGTATCATTAAAGTTAAACATTGTTAAAGTAATAAAGTGCTAATCTAAAATATAATTAATTTTATAATGAGAATAAGCTGTAATTTATTTTAAAATAAGTTTCCCATGTTAGATCTGTGGTTTTGGGGTAATTTATGTAGAGTTGATCAGATGATGATGACTATTTTCATAACAAATCCAATCTTCCAAGTATGTAGCTGATATCTGTGTAGCGTGGGGGAGCTGGATATGCAGCATCCCTTCATTGTCCTTTCGGCCTTCATATGCCGCAAAGACCACAACTCATGTACAAACTTGTGGGAAGTTTCTATCCAAGAGGGACTGGAGTCTGTTCTGACCTGGAGCCAGTTCTGCTAGAAAGAACCTAACTTTCCAGAAAACAGGCAAAGTGAGGGAACAGCAAGTGCTCCAGCAGGTAACCTTCCTCCTGCATTCTGAAATTACCAAGATAATCTCATCTTGTGTAACATCTGTAGTGTGCCTGATACTTCAAGTTTCTTTTAAGGGAGTAAACTTAAGGAACTTTATAATGTGTGTTAGAAAAGGGAATTATTTTTGCCTAATTAAATCTGGAATTAGTGTTATTTTAGTGGAGTTATTCCAGGCTAAAATCATGGTTTCAAAACAACACGTTTGAAGGTGTGAGTGGGTTTGCTTGAGAATTCCCCCTCCCGGTCCTGAAAACCTTCTCACTTAGGTGATTTTCAGCTTCACTGGAAATGCCGTGAAATACTTAACTCCTGAAATCCCCAAGAACAGGGTAGAGGACAAGTTAGAGGTGAGGGACTGAGAAACAGCTGTGACATGCAATACCAATACATTGATCCCAACCAACCAGTTCTTGTGGCTATGTAAGAGCCTCAGGGTACTGGATATCAATATAAATTAGGGTCCAGCTGTTTGCCATATGGTCCTCAGTCCAGAAAAAGAAATGCGTGCCTGGCTTGAATTTGATTTCTAAGCTCAACTATGCACTTGTTTAAATCACACCCACATGTCAAGATATTGGGGTATAATCCTCATATTTTATCTTTTGAATGAGTACTACAATATGTATTGGTGATGAGTTATGTATGGTAATGAAGTTATTTGGCAAATCCACACATTTAAATCATTTAGTTGTGAGTGGAGCCTTATTCATGTGATGAGTTTACATTTCTGAAACATATATATTTAATTACAACTGGAATGGCTCAATTATAGTCTAGAATATTGTGTTCACATACATGTGAACTGAGTGGGGAGGGCTGAAGCCAGACAGTTTTCCTGATAATAAGATTATTGACCCCCATTTAGACACTAGGTAGCAATGATCATAAACCAAAAACAGGATCCAATGTCTGTGCTCAAAGTGCTAAAATGTCATTTTGGTGGGGAATGTTCCACTGCCAAGCCTTTGCAGGCCACCTTCGCCATAGGCAAAGGGTGGAGGTGGTCGGGCTTTTCTGCCATGTTTGTAGAGGCACAGAACCAGAAGTAGGAAGGTGCAACTCAAGCCCATTAAAAGAAAAGGATCACTCTCTGTGCACTCTCACACACACAAGTGGTGACTGATAACAGGAGAGCAGTATGGTTTCACCTGTGTTCAGGGAGAAGAGGTAACTGCTTGCTGTCCTATGTTAATTTGTTCTGAGTGTGAGTGATAGAGGCCACCTTGTGTCAGCCTAAGGCTGTGTCTACATCAGCTGAGCCCTGTGCTGCACAGCTGCACCAGCTCAGGTCCCAGCAAAAAAACAACTGAGTTTGTGCTGAGGCTAACTGGCCATATATCTCAGCAAGCAAGGTGGATCCATAGTACCTTTTACCCTCAGATACATCCTGTTGTTTTTACTCGCTGCAGTCCAACCTCCTTGTCTTCTCTTTTCCATTTTTCTGGAGCATCCAGTGACTTCTAATTTTGGTCTTTTCAGCTGCTGTTGGCTGGGTAGCTGATTTATTTTTAGCTAAAAGCCAGAAGCTTAGAGGGAACCCAGGGGGGTAGCACTTGGACTAAGAAGTGAGGAAGCAGAACAAATGGCTATGCTGAGTCTGGTGAAACAGGGCCAGAGGAGAACCTGGGACCAAGAGACAGAAAGCTAGATTGGATTGTCGTAGAAACTGAGACTGCTGAAACTGGAGGAAAAGCAATACAAGAGCAGGCTAGCTTGCGACAAAGAGAAGCAGACTTAAGCAGGAAGGACGAAGAAACAAGGACTAGCAGCTTTTGGAGATCAGAAGGCTGGATAGGCACAAGGAGCTGGAACTGCGGGACAGCTGAAAATGGTCAAGAAGCTCAGAGGGAGCCACTGGGAAGAAAAAGGGGTAGGAGATGACAGCTGGAAGCTAGGGGGAAGAGGGAGCGTGGAATTCATGACAGGAGAAGGAACCTTTCACCCGTAGGCAACTGGTTTGAATCTCGTCCAAGTCAATAGTGAAGAAGAAGTAATGACTGTGGGGAGATACAAAAGGAGCTGTTGGTCTCAGTCCAGTTCTTAGCGAACGGATGTCAGCATCACTGCTGGAGTTAGCACAGCTGGAAGGCTTGCTGGCAGTCAGCAGAGAAACCACAGGCTGGTTGAAAAGGGAGGCAAGTCTAAGGCAAGAGGGAGGCCCATGAGAGGGACTCTTAGATTGTGTTCTCAGGCCTGCCACTTTCTTGTCGTGTAACACTGTGAAAGTTTAAGTGAGAACTTGCAGCTGTTCCAGGTTACTTTGTGCTTGTTTGGCCACTTGTTAAATGAGTGTTAGACCTTGTTCTCATTTAAAAGTTAGACCAATCTTTATATCCCATAACTTCCCATGGGATGGGGTGAGCCGATCTAACAGCCCACTGCTAACAGACCACCTCCAGTTCTGCTCTCCTTATCTGCCCCATCCATTCAGTTTGCTCCTGCCAGCTCCTTGGACATCCTTGGATCACTGAGCCAGTTCAATTTATTAATCCAGCAGAAATGTAGCCCAGCAGGAAAAAGTGGATGGTCTTCTGTCAGGTTAGTAATACACATTCAGCGTCTTGAAGTACTATCCACTATTGTTCTCTTAGTGCTCCTAGTGGATTATAATCACCTGTTAAATTTCATATAAAATTGTATGAAATAATTGCAAAGTAACACTGCAAGTCATCTGGCAAGTACTGCAGACCACCTGGTTTGACTGTGAAACATTTCACAAATGCAGCGTTTGCCTAGCAACAAAGTCTGCTCTCCAGGCTCCCTTATGATTTATGGGGAAATAACTCCTCCAAACGGTGACTCAGAGAGAATAATGGCTATTTCTCTGAATCATTCCTATGGGATGCTGTCTGTCTTTCTCTTGACTGCATGGGAAAGATAGGAGAACATCCTCCCTAGAGTATGGTTTCACAAGAGCTGACATAATGGTTTACCAATAC